CAACATCACGTAACATTAAAATGCAGGACCTGAAGTCACACCCGCCACATTCCCAGGGATCCCCGGCTGTGCGTGAGGCCAAGGGCCGCTGCGTCGAGGTACAGATCCGGGGTCTGGCCGGTGTGGCCTCCCCGCCCCACGAATCGGGGCCTTTTCATAGACTTTAATCAAAATGTGCACGGGACCTGCCCCCTGTTCTGCTGTCGAGACGCTGTGGTCTCCGTGTGAGCTCGGCCTCCCTGCCGCACACTCTCCCACCTGCTGGGCCGGAGGCGGTCAGCCGTCGGGAGTCACGGACGCTCGCAGAAATCGGGGGGTGCCCCCCTCCTCAGGAAAATGCGCCCCCGTGAGCACACACACAAGAGGTGGCTATGGCTTCAGGGGCTCACTGACCCCAGATAAGACTGCTTTGTCTGGGAGGGTGCACCACGGCGGGGTCTGCTGGATATTTAAGTTCTTTCCCCCTTTCCTCCGTTGTAAGAAGCACCGTGATGAACATCTTCGCGCAGACGCGTTTCGTTTGTCATTCAGACTATTTATGGGAAGCGTTTCAGAAGACGACTTAGGAGGTAGGGGCTGCGTTCAGGGCTCCATACACGTGGCCAGTGCACTTCCCGGGGAGGGGGTGGGGGCCGCAACCGGATGCCGCTCGGGTCCACACGGGGGTCCTGGCATATTACACCCCACACCCACCGGCCCTCCCGACTGGCCCGGGTAACTTCCAGGGCAGACGAATGACGGGCTGGCCACTGACCTTGGCCGGTGGTCATCCTCACCTGTGTGCCCATCCCAAGCCCTGATTCCCGACACCGTGGGCGGCACAGACCCCAACCCTGCGCTGGGGCCCAGACCTCCGTAGGAGCAGCTGCTCTCTCTCCTCAGCCGCCCCATTCCCTGGTGGACCTTGAGTGGCGTGGCCCTATGGTCACGGATTTCGGGCCATCACTGTGCTGGGAGCTGGGGGGTTTGGGCAGGGCAGGTGGCTTGGCCACCTAGGAACCGGGTCCTACCCGGCTACACCCCACACCTTGGACGCTGCCCTTCTGGGAACTACCCGTCACATACGGAATGTTGGAGGGACTCCCAGATGCAGAAGGGGTGACCCTCCTCCTCCCCCCTCCTCATCCCCCTCCTCCATCCTCCTCCCTCCCCCTCCTCCTTCCCCCTCCTCCTCTTCCCTCTTCCTCCTCCTCCCTCCCCCTCCTCCTCCTTCTCCTCCCTCTCCCTCCTCCCTCCCCTTTCTCCTCTTCCTTCCCCCTCCCCCTCCTCCCTCCCTTTTCCCCCCTCCTCCTTCTCCTCCTCTTCCTTCTCCCTTCCCTTCTCATCCTCCCTCCCCCTCCTCCTTCTCCTTCCTCCCTCCTCTCCTCCTCATCCTCCCTCCCCCTCCCCCTTGTCCTCCTCCTCTTCCTCCTGCCCCTCCTCCCCCTCCTCCTTCTCCCTCCTCCCTCTCCCTCCTCCTTGCCCAGCCCCAGCCCCAGCCCAGCCTCCATATGTAGTTCTTCGGTTCTGCCACTAGAGGGATCCCGTGAGCCAGGCCCGTCTACACTACCCTCCTGGGGACCCAGGTCCCAGGGACATTAGGAGGAGCCTTGGCTCCAGGAGCAGCTATATGGGCGCACGCCAGTCCTCGAAACCAAGCCCTGCTGCGGGGCGTCTGCTCCCCCCGATGCTGGCAGTGCTCTGGACCTCCGCCCAGATGCCCTCTCTGTTCCTGTGGCCCCTGGATTCCAAGCTGCGCTTCTCAACCAGGCTGCTCGCTGGAAGCCCCCGGGAGATTCAAACGCCGCCTGTGCCTGGGCCCCACGCCCAGCAGCTCTGGACTCATTGGTCTGGGTGCCACCGGGGGCACTGGGCATTTCCAAGGCAGCCCGAGGCATCCTCACCTGCGGCCAGGTGGGGAGCACCTGTCCAGTACACCTGGCCCTTGAGTCTGAGATTTCCAGTCCCACCAGTGTGTGGGTGCTGCGGGGGGGTGGGGAGGAAGGGAGGGAGGCACACCATCCCCGCTTCTAGCGGCTCCAGTGTGGTGGCGGAGACAAGTACCACACGCGGAGCTCGGAGCGTAAAACAGCAAAGCAAATGTGCACGGCAGGGGCTGGCCCAGAGCCCAAATCTGGCTCTCGTCAAATCTGCCTCTAAAAAATGCAGATTCCAGGGCCCGCCCAGCCCCTTCCAGAATCCACATCTGTGTTTCCAAGCTCCCAGCCACCTGTCATGCACGGCTGGGCCGGGAACCAGTGCGCCGCCGTGTAACACCCATCAGGACCTGGGACGCGGGCGGTGCCCACGCCACCCACCTCGCTAAGCACCTGCTGGCCGGCCAGGAGGCGGGGAGGGGTCCCGTCCGTCTCTGTCCTGTCCCAGCACAAAGCCTCAGCCCCGCTGGACAGATCTGGTTGGGAGAGCGAGTGTCGTGGAACTGCGGGGACTCTGGTGGCTGAGGCCCCTCGCGGCCTGCACTGCCGTCTGGGGCGCACACCCAGAGATCGGCGCACCATCCGTGAAGGGGCTCTGAGCAAGCGGGCGACGCCCGACGAAACCGCGTGGGGCCGGGGTCTGCAAAGCAAAATTACGGCTCCTGAGGTGCCCCCCACAGAAAGGCCTCCTGAGGCGGGAGCCCAGCCCCTGCACCCAGACACGCCCGCTGCTCTGGCTCGGGGGTCTGCACGCGGCTCAGAGTGGGGCCGTCACGTCCAACCACGGGAATTCGTAGTCAGCCACGAAAAGGAGGTCCTGACACGCGCCTCGGCATGGACACAGCGCTCAGCAGAAGCCAGACACAAAAGGCCACGTATTGTATGATTCCACTTTCCTTTCCACAGGAAACGTCCAGAACAGGCAAGTCCATCGACGCAGGAGGCAGGTTAGTGGCTGGGGGAGGGGGAACGGGGAGTGGCGGCGTAGTGGGGATGGGGTTTCTTTTGGGGGTGAGGACAGAGTTTCGGATCTGGACTGTGGTCGCTGTTGCACAACACCCTGAGTGCATGAAACGTCGCCGAATGGTACAATTTTAAATGGCCGCGGCGGCAAATTTCATGTTGTGTGTATCTTAGCACAATTAGGAAAACAGAACAATTTCCTGATGCCGGGGCCGCCCCGACTGTCTGGGAAGGGTTCTCAGCGCTGAGACAGGTGGGCAGGATGGCTCTGTCATGGGGTGGGGCTGTCCCGGGGGCCTGGGGGGCGCTCAGCAGCTTCCCTGTCCGCCCGCCGGAAGCCGACGACATCCCCACCTTCAGCCCTGAGAGTGTCACACGTGCCCCAGGGCTGCTCTGGAAGCATCGGGAACTGCCTGGGCTTGAGGAGCGCATATGAGGTCCCCTGGGACATTCTCAGGGGCAGCCGGGGTGGGGACCCCGGCAAGGCAGACAGAAGGCAAAGAGGTGACCCCATGAAACGGGTGTTACTGTCCTCATCTGACCAACGAGGAGATGAGGCTCCAAGAAGACACGGAGCTCTTGCCAACCAGGTCTCCCGAATTCCCAAATCCAAGCTCTTCCACCATCAGGCGCCCACGGGGCCCATTATGCCAGGCCCCGATCCTGGTTCTGCCACTAAGACCTCAGCCATGTGACCACAGGCTGGGCCCAGAACACCTGGGTCACAGTAAAGGTGGGAGCTCGGACCCTGTCCCTCCACCTGGGCCCTGGGGTGCTGGGCCCCTGCACGGCTCCTGCGCTGGCAGGGGCACCGGCAGGGGCGCTCTGACCGAGCTGTGCGTGGGAAGCCAGGCTTGAGCTTGGTTCCCGGCCTGGGTCCTGCGCGCCCTCCAAGGCTTGAGACAAAGGTTATCAGTCCACCCTCGGCTCTGACGACCACAGCTCATTGAGGGGATACACCGGGTAAGAACCCATCTCGACTTCCTTCTCCTTTGCTCCCTGGCTTATGTCCGTCCCGTGTGACCTCGTGTCCTCCGGGTCTGGGTTCAAATCCGGCTCCGCAGGCCTGCTGGCATTGTAACCTCCGGCAACTTCAATAACCTCTCTGTGCCTCGCTTTCCCTTTCTACACCCGGGGGTAATGTCAGGACCCGCCTCCCAGGGTTTCGGGCGGTCGTGAGCGTCATAAGCGTAAGTCATCGTGCCACACAGGTCTGCTGCCCATGCAAGGCTGGGACCATCCACCCCCAGCATGAGCCCGGCTCCCAGCTCGAGTTCAATCACTGCTGCTGAGTCAGTGCTTAAGAGCATGACCGCCACCGTGTACCTGGACATCTAAGGAGAGCGAGCACCACAGCCAGGCCACAGGCAGGGGCTGCCCACATCAGGGGTGGCCTGGCCCGCGCTGGCCTGGCCGCTCTGGGTTAGCACCAGGCCCCTGCTCATGAGCCTTGTGCCCACCCAGCCCTGTGAGGCCCCCTAGTGATGCTGCAACGACCCTACCCCGCCAGGTGCACCCCAGGGCGAGGTAATTCCTGCCGCAGCAGGCCCCTGCCCATGTGGCCTGAGCCAGCGAGGCTGCCCATGTGCCCAGGCACCTGGTAACCTGGGCGCTCCGGCTGCAGAGGGAATGCCACCCACATTCCTGCCAGGACCCTGTTCCAGCCTCTCACAGCTCAAGGGTCTGGGCAGAAGGGCTAAGGATCCCCTGTGGCCAGGAGGCTGGGCCACGTGCCTGCCTTGGCTGCAGCCACGAAGCCTTATGCCACCAGCCGGGAGTCTCCGAGTGTGCCATCTGCAGGGGCTGTGGGATGGGCGACAATCTACTGTCCCCCCAGGGATGGGAACAGGGGACACCAGGATGCTCAGGGCCTGGCCCCGTGGGGTCTAGTCTGGGTTACGGGGCAGGTCGGTCCTGGCAGGGAAGGCTTAGGAGGACAGGGGACAGAGGTGGAACCCCCCATGCGCGTCCTTCACCATCGCGTCGGGGGGCATCAAGTGATGGGACCCGGGCGCCGAGGCCCTGGCCTGGGGAGCGCGGGACCCCGGCAGGCCCCCCTCAGCACTCAGGGAGCTGCTCCCCAGGAGGCCCCGGCGGGCCTGGGGTCAGACTGGGACTCACCCGCTCTCGCTGTCCAGGAACACGGAGCTGCCGCTGTCCCCCAGGGCGGCGCTGATGGGCGACAGGCAGAAGGGCGAAGAGAAGGCGTCAGAGTCCGAGTCGAAGGAGCTGTCCCTGCTCACGCCGTCGGCCGACAGCTCCAGGGAGCCCTCCTCCTCGCCCGCCTCGGGCCGCGGCTCCCGCCCCTCCTCCGTCCCGTCCTGCGAACTGACCGCCGACAAGATCCCGGAGTCGCTGTGCGCGGGCGGCGGGGCCATCCCCAAGCCCCGGGCCAGCTTGTCCCCGTCCTCGGAAGGCGGGGAGGGGCTGACACGCACGGCGTCTGGGACGCTCTGCGCCACCCCCAGGGCGTCCGCGTCTCTGGGGATCAGGGTGGGCCTGGGCTCCGTGGGGGAGGCCTGGTGGGGGGCCCCCAAGCTCTGGGCGCGCCGGCCCCGCGGGCGGGGTGCCTTGCGGACGGGGGAGCTCTCCGGGGTGATGTAGCGCAGCGCCTCCTCGTCCTGCCTCTGGATCCGAGAGTTGGGGACCCACGTGAGGATGAGGGTGCTCCCCAGCAGCTCATCCTTCTCCATGTACAAACACAGGTAGCCTGGGAGGGTCAGGAGGACAGGCTGGTTAGGGATGGCGATGCACGTGTTGCCGTGGCTCGTGGCGGAGGCCCGGCCCTGGTCAGCAAGGATGTGGGGAGCCCCTATGCGGGGAGCCCCCAGGCTGCACACACAGCCTGGCCCCAGCACAAAGCGGCCAGGGGTGCGCTCAGGCTTGAGGCGAGTGAAAGCTGTGGGCACCTGCTAGCACCTCCGAGCAGATTCGGGGGCCCTGGGCCCCCAGGCAGTGACCTGTTTTCACTTTCCATGCACGGGGAGCCCCGTCCAGCTGAGAGCCCCACCCTGTCCACGGGGTGGTGGCCCCAGGGCTTTTCCGCCTGTGGCCAGCTTCCAGGTCTGGGGTGCCTGGGAGCCTCGCTTCACCATGGCTGGGAGCAATGGAGGCTGCGGACCTTATTTCTGTTTCATATAAAATAAACCCAGACAGGGGTGTGGGGCCTCTCGCGGCCACTTGTGTTCTCAGCGTGTCTTCTTCAACTCAGCTTTGCGGAAGGAGGGGCCGTCCCTGATGTCAGGCACCAGGCCGCTGCCAGGGACCCAGCAGAGCGGCCTCCTTCCAGGCTGCAGCCAGCGGGCGGGCTCTCTGGGGTCCCAAATGCTCAGCCTGCAGGCTGGCGGGGGGGGGGGCATTTCCTGCCACCTCTGGATGTCCTGGTTCCTGGGCCTAACGGGCCAGGTGCCCAGGGCTCCTGGTCTTTGCTCTGGAAAGCCCCCGGGGGCAGGGGCTGGGCCCTGGCATCCCTCGGGGCTCTGAGGACCTGCACCAGAGTCTCCTGAGCCCCGCTCCCGTCTCCAGAGGATGCCGGGAAACTCAGTGGTAACGGTGGGGTGCAGGTGAGGCCACGCGCTTAGATCCTGCAGCTCGGGACTGGGGAGGGAGCCCCAGGCCTCTGCCCCTGCCCCCCACCCAGCCTTCCAGCACGACAGCATCCCCACAAAGCTCTCCCAAGGCTGTGTGGTCCTTTCTGATTTAGACCCGAAGAGCTACCACTCTCAGGCCCGACCTAGAACCTCTGTGTCCTCTTCCAATCCTCAGAGTTGGCCCTGGGGTCAGGCGTCCATGGCCACGTGCCACCCAGAGCCTGCACCCCCTTCTAGAGCACCCTCCGGGGAGGCAGGACCCTGGGGACTCCCTGTCCACACAGTCCAGGCTCTGCTTCCAGGGCCCGCTCCTGAGCTGTCTGGGGGGGCTGTGGACGGGCTGGGGTGTCCACACGTGGGAGCCCGAGGTCCCTCCTAGCGCAGGAAAGACAAAGTGAGGTCGGGTCTCCTGCTTTGGAGCCTGTCGGGGCCGATGATTCCAAATCCGCACCTGACCCTCCGGGTGACTATAGCCTTACCAAGGTAGGACTCGTTCATTAGCATAATGTAAACTTCCTTTTAATCAATCTATTCAGTGTCTTGTTGACATGTAACTTGCACACAGTAACGTGATCAGACTTGATTGTGATTTATGACTTTTACATGTCTTGACATCTGCTGTGGGGCCTCTGTCTGCGCTGGGTGGGCAAGTCCCCAGGCCGCGGCCAGGCTGCACCTGCCCTGGGGGCCCTGAGCATCCTCCAGCAGCCTGGGGAGGCCACGGGAAGCGTGGGGATTGCCCGGAGCCTGCCCTTGCCACACCTCCACCCGGGGCTAGCCTTGGCAGCGGCCCAGCCTCCTGGTTCAAAAAAGAAAAAAAAAAATGGGGGGGGGGGCCTGCCCGGGGCTCCGGGCACTCTGATGAGGTTAACATGCAAACAAAAGAAAGCAGTTCATTTATTTGTGGCAAGTCATTTGCACAAACGAAGAAGGGCCACACAGGACTGGGGTATCACTAGCCCATTCTTTTGTCCCCATGGGCAGCAGGCCTGAGAGAACCACCGCCCCGCCCCGCCCCGCCCAGCCCCGGGGTGAGAGCCCGGCTGCTCTGACCCCATCTGAGAGCCTCAGATCTGCCCCCTGCCCCGGGACCGCCGCGGTCGACGTCCTGGAGGAGAAGCTCTGCTGTGCGCCGTGACCCGCAGCCCCGCAGTGCACAGGGCAGCCGCCGCCACTGCAGGGCTCAGGATACAGCCTGAGCCCTGCAAAAACACGCAGTTTCTCTCTGTGACTTGGCACCAGAGAGCGACGTCGCTGTGGCCACAGGAAAAGTGTCCCACCCCGGGCTAATGAAGGCCCCGGCGCTGGGGTGTCCCGGGCATGGCCCCAGGTTCCTACGTCTCCCTGCCGCAGACTCTGGCTCCGAGTTCTCTTCCCTAATTTCAAACCAGTGGGGTTAGGGGGCAGGCGGGACAGGACTGGTGATTTCCATGTCTCCAGATCGCCAGGCCCATCCGTCGCTGCACCCCGTTCTCCTCCCAGCCCCCGGGGCTGCGGGAAGGAAGCAGCAGCCACGCCCTAGGGCAAGCCGCGTGCACCTGCCACAGCAGACGGTGGCCCGCTTCCCTTCCTGATGCTGCCGGGGGGGGGGGGGTCCCCTGCTCCCAGCAGCCCTGTAGCGACCTACTGTCTTCTTCTGAAGCTGATTCCCCTTAAACCGTCCCATCCCATGTGTGTAAGTTAAAGGTCACCAGTCCCTTCAAAGACAGGTAAATTAGGACAGATGGGGAAGGGACATGAAAGCTTTCCGCAGGGATCCCTGGGTGGCGCAGCGGTTTGGCGCCTGCCTTTGGCCCAGGGCGCGATCCTGGAGACCCGGGATCGAATCCCACGTCGGGCTCCCGGTGCATGGAGCCTGCTTCTCCCTCTGCCTATATCTCTGTCTCTCTCTGTGACTATCATAAGTAAATAAAATTTTTTTTTTTTTAAAAAAAGAAAGCTTTCCGCAGCTGAGGCTTGGTTACTTTAGAAAGAGACGGGGCCGAGGGGCAGCCCGGGTGGCTCAGTGATCTAGCACTGCCTTCAGCCCAGGGTGTGATCCTGGAGACCTGGGATCGAGTCCCACATCGGGCTCCCTGCACGGAGCCTGCTTCTCCCTCTGCCTGTGTCTCGGCCTCTCTCTCTCTCTCGAATAAATAAATAAAATCTTAAACAAAAAAAAAAAAAAAAAGAAAAAAAGAAACGGGGCCGAGGATTCCAAATCTGCACCCCCACCAGAACAAATGGACTGCTTTATTTCATTTGCATGTTAATCTCCCCCCACCCCACCCCCAGGCCCTCCCGTCTCCTGGGCTCACCTGGGTGGTGCTCCCCCAGCCCCTGCAGCCCCTCTGGGGGGTGCACGCAGATATTATTCTTGGAGTAGATGATCTCCCCATCCAGGACGGAGGGGGGCCCGCCGCCGCCGCCGCCTGGGGTGAGGGTCAGGAGGTCCGAGGCTTTGGAGGAGGCCCGGCGAAGGAGGCGGCCCAGAGACATTGCCGGGGGAGTGTTTCCATCCTCCGCACGCTTCGGCCCAGGCGGGGCTCGTCCAGACGTGGCTGTGGGAGAGGGATACAGACGAGGCGCCTCAGGCCAAGGTCATGGGCTTGGGCCAAGTGTCCTTGGCGCTGTGTCCTGCTCACACCAGGGAGCTCGAGATGGATGGTGGTCCCTAACCACCGTGTAGGGCACGCTCGGTTCTAGGCCGTGGCACCAGGGACGTTTGGGGCCAGGTTGTTCTTTGTGGTCGAGGCTACCCTGGCCTCCACCCACTGGGCGCCACCAGCAGTGCCCTTTCCACCGTGCCCACCAACAATGTCACCAGCCATTGCAAACGTCCCCCGGAGGCCAAACCATGCTGGTGAGAGCCATCCGTCAGAGGGCTCTGCTCCCCCACAGTGATCTCGGAAAACCTCCAGACTTCTCTTTGCTCCGTTTTTACCCCTACGTCTATGCCAACAAGCCTCGCCGTGCTTCCCAGGGAGCGTCCTCCGGCCTCCATCCCATCCTTCCCGGCCTCCTCCACCGCCCGCACCCTGTCGCCCCCAGGCCCAGCCTGATGTCCCGACATGCAACAGGTCATCTCAGCTGGGAAGGGTGTCACAAGCAGTATTTGAAGGACAGAGTCTGCCTACAACTTGTTCTTTAAAAAAAAAAATAAAGGAGAGGGGCGCCGGGCCGGCGCTGTCGGAGGAACATGTGACTCTCGACCCCGGGGTCAAGAGTTCGAGCCCCACGTAGGGTGTTGAGATTACTTAAATAAATAAAAACTTTAAAAATAAATAAATAGGGATCCCTGGGTGGCGCAGCGGTTTGGCGCCTGCCTTTGGCCCAGGGCGCGATCCTGGAGACCCGGGATCGAATCCCACGTCGGGCTCCCGGTGCATGGAGCCTGCTTCTCCCTCTGCCTGTGTCTCTGCCTCTCTTTCTCTCTCTCTGTGACTATCATAAATAAATAAAAATTAAAAAAAAATTTAAAAAATAAATAAATAAATAAATAAATAAATAAATAAATAAATAAATAAAGGGTTCCTTGGGTGGCTCAGCGGTTTAGCGCCTGCCTTTGGCCCAGGGTGCGGTCCTGGGGCCCAGGGCACGGTCCTGGGGTCCAGGGATTGAGTCCCGCATCAGGCTCCCTGCGTGGAGCCTGTATCTCCCTCTGCCTGTGTCTCTACCTCTCACCCCCGGTTCTACTGTCTGAATTTCGAGGGCACGCCACGGCGCGCGACACCCCTCGTATGAGAAACTCTTTAAAAAAAAAAAAAAACCGCACGGGCACCTACACATCACAACGTGCGCCGACCGTCCAACTAACCATCTAGAAAAACTATATTGTTATTCTAAGGAAGATTCTGTTATCCAGAACATTTTTAGAATTCAAGAATCATTCCAGGATTACAAGGTCACTTAATGAACCGTACAAAAACAGAACTCTCTTCTTTCCAAGACCGTCGCTGCCCAGTAGAAATCTAATTCGACCACATACACAATTTCAAATATCCTAGTAGCCACCTTTCTTAAGAGTAAAGAGAAATGAGGAAGATTAATTTTGGTAATATACTTTCATTTAACTCATTATGTCCCCAACAGTATCATTTCGGCACGTAATCAATATGAAAAAAAAAATGATCGATGAGCTGCTTTACGTTCCCTGGGCCTGCAGACTCTGGCGTCTGTTTTGCATTAAGTGCATCTCAGTGGGGACCAGCCACATGGCAGGGGCTCGTGGCCTCCGCGTGGGCGAGGCTGGAGCCCCACCTCCTTTGGGGCCTCCAATGGTTTTCCTTCCTTAATCCGTCTAACCGCCAGACTGGGCTGCAAACAACTCTCAGCTGATTCTAAAAACCAAACCGTCTTTTAAGTGAAGATGTTTGCCACCGTGGAGGATAATCAAAAGAATGTGCTGGAAGATTTGAAGGGGATCCCAAAATACCAGTGCTCACAATCCAGCATTTTCCCACACGCCAGACGTGGATCTGATGCTCGGTGTCACTGCGGCTCTGGCAGCCGCGCAGCCTCCTTAAACGCGCGGTTTTGGAAACGAGAAAACAGGTGGCGAGCATTCAGGTCACTTGGTGAGCAGAAAAGCTTGGCACCCGAGACCTTTGTCCTCTGTGCTCAGAGCTCGGCTCCCCTCCCACCCCAGCCACCCGGGCGGGCGGGGGACAGTCCCCTCAGCCCCGGGGGGGCCGCAGCCTGGGGGTGTCCGTCAAACACCACCCGCAGGTACACGCACTCTCTTCGGACACCTCTCACTTCTCCTCTAAGTGCGTTTGTTGCTCTGTGAGCCGATTTCGTTGAAATTAGACCTGGTTCCCAACCTCTGCTCTCTATCAAACTGCACATGGAGAGAGTCCTTGACCTATTTTTTAATGCTTTTGGTTGTCATTAAGTAGGAAACAAGCTCAGAGAAGTATAAAAAAACATCAATTCCTTCAATCACGGGACCTGAAACCATTGCGTGTTTTCCCTTATGTTCCATGTCTATCTTAAAGAAAACCAGACATCCCCCGCTGGGATGACACGGGGTCTTCCTTTCAGTCATAGTATCACACATGCATTTTCCCACGTGTTAATGAGTCGAAGTGTGTGTCCCCCCAGCCCCCCCAATCATATGTTGAAGCTCGAACCCCCAGCACCTCCGACCGAATGGAGACGGGTCTTTACGGGAGTGATTAAGTTGGAATTAGGCCATTAGGGCAGCTGGTGTCCTTTAAAAAAGAGGAAATTTGGAGGTAGACAAGGTGTCCAAAGTGGGGCACAGATCCAGGAAGAGGCGACGTCGTGACACAAGCCACGCAGATGTGAATTGGGGAGGGAGAGCGGGAAGGAGAGGGGGGCTGCGGGCAGCAGCAGGGAAGGGCCGGCGGGGAAGGGGCCAGGTGGGGTTGGGCGGTGGGCAGCACCCAGGGAAGCCGGGTGGGAGGAGCAGGGCAGGGTGGGGGGAGGCTGCAGAAGCTCCCCTGCTGGAAGGGGGGCCCGGCGGCACAAGGATGTGAACGGTCCCAATGCCATAAAACTGCACACTTCAGAATGGCCTGAGTGGTCACCATGCTGGGGATACTTTACTGGGATGAAAAATAAGAATAGTGGAAACTAGAGAGGGATATATTGACACTCTCTGTATTTTGCTTTTTTTTTTTTTTTTTTTGGTAAAAGTAAAACCCTCTAAAAAATACAATTAATTAAAAAAAAAATAGGATGGAGACCAGAAGACATGAACCCAAAGAAGCCAGGCTGAGGGTGGACTCGTGTGGATGGAGGCAAGAGACAGGCAGGGAGCTAAGGCAGGACGAGCAACGGCAGGGTGACAAAGGGAGCTCGGATGTCCAGGCCGAGGGAAGCTGCCAGCAGCGATGCCAGGGCCTGGCAAGGGCTGCACAACCTGCCGGGGATCTTCCCGGTGTCCTTGAATCCACAAGATGCATAACCTTGAGTGCTTCTCACTCACAACCTGCAGAGCAGTTTAGGCCCACGACCCTAGGGACCTGGTGTCCCACGGGGGCGGGAAGGAGCAAAGACAGCCACCCCTCCCGGGAGACCAGAAAGCTGTGCTCCAGAAAGTCTTCCTGGGCACGGAACTCTGAGCTGGTAGGAGGCCCAGGTCCCCTTCCGTGGACCCGGGGTCTTTCTCCGACCGCGTATTATTTATTCTCATCATACCTCGCACAGAGTGGGGGAAAGGGCAAAACCATCTTGAAACGCCGTCCGCAGAGATCCGAAGACACACAAAACCAGCTCGAAAGGGAGCAGAGAGGAGCCGGCAGCCAGGGACGGCTCCCCGACTTCCTCTAGCAAGGACTCGGAGTTAATTGAAATCAAAATAGCAGCCGAGATGCTCAAAAGCACTTTGTACCAATATTACAGAGCCTGTCCCCAAATCCCGAGAGGAAGGGGGATAGAGAGGCAGCTCAAGGTAGATCCTTGGACGACGATAAAAACGTCATTTTCCTCTGATGCGTTCACTTAATATTTCTACTTTAAGACGGTTATGCCCGTGTCACTCTTGTGGGTTTTAGATTCTAAGCTCCTGAGTCCAAGACATCTCTGAGAAGTCCCCTTGTGAATGACGTGTCTACAGAACGCCACCTTCAATCAAGATCCACACGCTCTGTTGTTGCTGATGGAAAGGACAGCAATGCCAGCCTGCTGGCACGCAGAAGGAACAGAAAGATGGACTAAGGCCAAGATCTAGAATGAGCATCAGTTTGGGTGCACAAAAAAAAAATAATGATTTTAAAAGGTATAAAGTAAAAAATGCCAGTGCTGGTTTCTAGCCATCTGGGACATGATCGCAAGCTGAGCTCTGTGCTGTTGCAAGTGGTCGGCGACTGAGGTTGGGCCAGATTTTTGCAAAATAGGCTAGTGTGTAATTCGAAAGGACAGAACAACTTGGCCTCCCCTCAAAACACACACATGCTCATGACACGGGGCTCCCCGCCGCAGAAAGCCCTCTCTGCTCTGCAGCATCCCCAGCACCTTTGAGAACTGTGGGTTCTCAGCACACCCCCATCGCAGCCTACGGGGTAAGGGGTGCTGGGGGCCTGGGAGAGGGGTTTGGGGGTGGCTGGAGAGGGGGGAGCCGGGAAGTGGGGAGGTGGGCAGGTGTTTATTTCACAGCCCAGTCTGGAACTGGCCGTGCTGCTGGGCCGGGGCCAGGGGGCAGCAGGCCTCCACCAACCGCGCTGGCTCCTGGACGGACGCCCCCGGAACACCTGCCACGACCCGGGCCTGAAGCAGCTGAGGCCTCGGTAGCTCAGGGGGCTCTGCTCTGACGTGTACAGGGGTGAAGTGGAGACGCCCCTGCCCGGCATTCAGTCCCCCGGAGTTGGGCATATATATATACCTGAGGAAGAGCCGTCCTGCAGACAGAGACGGAGGCAAGGTCACCCACGAGCCAGCCGGAAACGAGCCACCCGTGGATCAAGAATTGGCCCCCTCGGAAAAGACACCAGTCGCCCGTGTGCCTCCTTCAGAAAGCACGTCCAGCCCACGCGCGCGGTTGCCCACGGCTGCTGCTGCTGCAACAAATCGCCACACGTTTCTCAGCTTAAAGCAA